TTTTTTTTTTTTTTTTTTTACCGCCCTGTACACTTATGAGGCATAATTCTTTTCCCGGTGGTAGGTCTTTTACAAAACAAGGAAATAATTTATTTTGTTGTTGTTGTTGTTGGCGGATAAAGAAGTCAAGTATCTGATACTTTTTATTTACAGAGTGTGATGGTTTTGTATAGTAGATTCCTCCCTGAGCATTCCTAAAAGAAAAAAAAAAAACTTTAAAAATTTAACTTCACCTGTGTTTGTCTTATGTGGTGTTAATTGTTGTACTTACCTTAAAATAAACCCATGTTGTTTTTCTGCCCCAAGTCCGGACAGTGTGTTTGTGTTCTCGCAGCTTTTAAAAACAAGGTGTGTTTGCAAATCCACCTGTTTTGATCATATTTGTTACGCAGGTGGGTGAACGCATAGACGTATACAGATGCTCGCAGGGGACTGGGGACGCTCCCCTGTTGTCTTGTTAGTGACGGAAAGGACTTTCCATGAACTCAGATCCCACCCTGGCCTAGGCAGTTGAGAAACGTCCCGGTTGGACGTGGATGCCTGAAGGACTGGGCACCTTCACGTTATTCGCTGTAAACGTTTTGCTAAATGCAAAAAAAAAAAAAAAAAAAAAGCCAATTGTCAACACAAATAGTACCACCATTCCATCTCAAACCCAGTGATCCCCAGCTGCGGAAGCAAAAGACAGGGAGGACCCAAGTTTTTCATTAGTTTAACTACGAACCTGGGACCTGGGGGAGTCCTGCTTTCCCTCCGATTCCTAAAATGCGGACTTCCTTCCCCATCGTAATGGCTTTCCAGAAAACAACGTGCAGTGGGCCGGAGAAGGTCCAAAGGGGATTGATTCTGGTGACGGTTAGCTCAGAGGTGGATTTCAGACCCCTTTACGTCTTGATATGGTCTCTTAATCTTCACCCTACTGCAGTGAAAAACTGTAGAGGCTCCTCGGCCTTCGAATGTAACTTACGATGCTTTTGGAGTTCTAAATTTACCAACTCTTTCGGGACTGTAAATCACAGGGAGATGATTGCCTTTTCAGTTTTGATATCTTGTCTTTAAAAATTTTTTAATAGCAATGAAACCATTTGTGGGGTGTGGCTGGGGCGGAGGGCGGGAGGGAGGTGAGGGGATGATTTTATTATCTCTTTCACTGGCCCAAAGGCACAATTCCCCCCCCCCCCCCCCCCCCCCCCGCTGGTCTCTGAGTGTGAGTTTTGAGGCCGGGGCTCCAAACTGGGGATTTGTTTCCCACCCAAGCAGGTCAGCTGTACTTTGCTTAGGGCGAAGCGGGCTTAACATTTCGGGGGATGATGATTTTTCCAAAAAGTGATTTTCCCTGGTGCAGTGGCATTGAACAGAACCTGGTTTTGTGTTGTTTTAACCATGGCAGTTTGTCTCCAGGTCATGCTGATGTAGTGCTGGGGGAGGTAGGAACGTAATAAATTTCCCCATATGTGCCACACAGATTCTTTGGATCTGTGGCCCCAGAGGTGACTAGTGGTTAAGACTTAAATGCTGCATTCTGTTCCTTTTCATAGTGCTCGGGATCGGGGAGCCCCCGCGCTTGGTGTCTGACCTCCAGCAGGCTCCCAGGCCCCCTTGCCTTGGTTGAGTAAGCTGGACTAGCCAGCGAGGAAAGAGAGGGAGGCCAAGAGGCCCCCCGCTCCCAGCTCCCAACGGCAGCAGAGGCCGGCCCTTCCTGCCCAGCTCCTGCGCTCCGGGGCCATTTCGTTCCTGTTGTCCAGATGATGCTGGCGCTGGATTCCAGGATGGTAGTCCAGCCGGCTCTCTCCTTCCCCAGGCTTTTCATAGAGTCCGCCCTGAAAGTGCGTCCTCCTCTCAAGATTCGGAGTTCAGCGGAGGTTTGAGAGACACGCAGGAAATAAAGGGGAGAGAAACGGGAAAGAATTCGGCGAGACCCGAGCTGCCACTGAAGCCACACCGGGACCTTCTGTCTCAGGGAAGGCCCCTCTGAGAGCAGTGCCTGTGCCGGGGCGCTGGCCCAGTGAACAGCTCAAGAAGGGACCCCCGCCCGCCCGGGAGATGAGCACCCTTCCATTTCCCTAGGAACGTGGGCAGCTCGAGGGATTGTGTCCGGGGCTTTCTCCAGGCCTCTGGAGGCGGCAGAGGGAGGGGTGTGTGAGGCCATGGCACGCTGGGACGCCTCAGAACCCGGAAAGCTTCCTGACCCCGAGGCCCAGGGGCCAGGGTAGGTGCGGGTAAGTTCCCCCAGAAGGCCGGCCATGTGAGCTGGACACGGTGCTCAGAACTCGCTGGGCTCAGCGCTCCCGCCTCAGCAGCCCCGCTAGGACCTCGGGCCTGGGGACTGAGCGGCCTCGGGCGCCTCCCTCGGGGTGGGGAGATCCAGCAGCAGCGGGAAGCGGAGCATCCCGGTGGAGGCGGTGGAGGCGGTGGAGGCGTCTGGGGCCGCTTTGCCAGTTCCCGCTGCCCTGGGGCGTCTGCCACCCAGCGCGCAAAGATGCAGAGACCGCGCACGGCCCCGGGCTGTCCTTGCTCCACGTATCCGCTCCCCTCCCCTTGCTTCGGCCGCTGGGTCCTCGCGAGGCCCAGGGCCTTTCAGGAAAAGGGGAAAGGAGGCCGACGATGGAAGGGCCGGAATGTTGGTCGCGGGCTGCTGGGACTCCTGGCGGGCAGCTCTGCGGTCCGCCGAGCTCACTTAGCACGAAGCCCCGTGCAATAGCCACGTTCCCTCCTGATCCAGTAACGTGGAACCAGGCAGGTCTCAGAGCTACTGTCAATAAAATGGGAGCAGCCCCAACACCACGGCGGAGACGGATTCCTACAGAGTTAACCCTGCGTGCCCGACTGGCCTTGGCTGCCTGGACCGGTTCTACCCAGGGTCCAGTTGTCATAGATACGGGCCGCTGGGAAAGACTCCCAGGCTTCTGACAATCCCGAACATTCCCAGCCCCATAGAGGCTGCAGCTCGGAGAGCCTCTCTGCTTCTTGTAAGACTCGGAGACATGCCCCACGCTCACGGCTCTCGAGGGGAGAGGGACGTGTGGGGTGTGGCCCCGCCCAGGCCCCTCTCCCGAGGCCAGAGCTGAGCCTGCCGCCAGGTGGTCCTCATCCCCTGGTTCAAGTAGCCTGTCCCCACCCACACCCAAATCATGGTGACACGTGTCCCCTAATTGCCTGAGCACTGGCCTAGGAATTCCACGGCCACATGATGCCAGGTGAACAAACCATTTCTCCTGGCTGGCCTCAGTCTTCTTACGTGTAAAATGACCAGGTGGGTGTAAGGGCATTTGGGGCAGCCTGGCACCTTCCTTTCGGGCATAGTCAGGCTCCTGCAGCGGGCCCTCACTTATCCCCACTCTCCTATCTGGCTGGTAAGAAATGAAGATCAGAAGTGAGAGGGAGGAGCAAATGTCCTGGGGTCCTGTGAACTTTGGTGCTTGGCTCCTAAATCTCTTGGGGCCCATCTCCTTTTACCCCAAGATTGCCTGGGGTCGCCTTTGGGCCTGGGAGAGGCTTGTAAGCTGCATTCAAAGCAGAGAGCACGGAGTCCCCAGAACACCCCCACGTCCCCTGTGGAAACTAACCCCAGTGCCTGAGTTCTTGCCTTCTCCCGCCTCAAATCCACTCCGAATCCAGAACACTGCGCGGGTGTTGGCCAGGAATTCACTGATAACCATAAACCTGAGGTGAGTGCAAAGAGAGACCCGAGAAGAGACCCATTAATTAACAGGGAGAACTGACTTTGTCCGGAATGCGCTGGGGGTCTCAGCACCCGTGCCTCGTGCCTCAGGGAACGTGTGCCTGTGTCGTCCCAGGCGGGACGCTCCTGACTGTCAGGGCGCGGTGGCCGTGGAGAAGTGGAGGCCTGAGGTTCGATGCCCTGGGTGCAGCCAGGGCCAGGGTGGGGGGGGGCAGCCTCCAGGTGAGGGGGGCACAGGGGACCAGTGCCCCCAGAGGAAGCCTTCGGGCACCACATACTCGAAATGCTTTCCCAAACTTCGAGAAGCATTCCCTGCCTGCCTCCTTTTTGCGTGGCCTCGGCTCGCCAAGGCATTTGAAACGTTTGCTTTTTGACATAGGCATGTAAGGGAGGCTGCAGGGTTTCAGACACTTTGCAGTCAGGACGGCCACCACTGCCCTGATTCGTGCAAGCCTTTCCCGGGCTTCGGCGACATTCCTGCTTCGTGGCCAACACAGAGAGACGCAGCCCGCGTAGAGTGTGATTCTCGAACGCGTATGTCTGATGCTGGGGTGGTTCTGCCAGTGTTGGGCTGGTGGGGACTTGATCCCAGGACTGTGTGTGTGTGTGAAAAGCTGGCACGGGGCGGGGGGGGGAGGCGGGCTGACAGATGGACTGGCCCCCTGGCCACACAGATCCTGTTAAGGAAACGGAGTTGGGGAGCACGGAGAGGGCTGCCCCAGCCTGGGGTACAGCTTTGAGCTCAGTCTGTATGCCCACCCAGGCGGGAGGTCACGGAGGCCAGAGAGGCCCCTCTGACCCCCGGCTTAGTGGCCCTTGGCCCTGGGTCTTACCTTTCCCAGCAGCCCCGTGGGGGCTCTCTCTCTGCCTGCGTGTTGTTTTTACAGGCAACCTCCTCAACGAGCCTTTCTAAGCTGAATCCACACGCACCAAATGAGGGCCTCCACACAGGCCAGCGGAGGGTTCGCGTGACCTCAGGCGTGCCCCCTGTAGCTCTCTCGGCCCATTTCTCGACTGCCAAATGGGAGGATCATCAAGCAGGGTTATGGTTGAGGACGAGTGAGCCCGACACAGGTCAGGAGAGTCCAGGCCATAGGAAGGACTCACGGCTAGCCGTCAGGGTTTACAGGGCACCAGGAGAACAGTGGTTCTTTGGTCTCGGCCAACGGTGTACGTCAGGCCACATGCTGATGTGCCCTAGCGATGTGCCCTGACTGCCCGTTTTAGACCCTTGAAATTACTGCTGGGGACAATATGGGCTCTAAGAAAATCAGTAATTTGGAAAATCCTGCCCTGTTCTCTGGGCTTCAGCAGAGCGTTATGTTCATGCCCCCCCCCCCCCCCCCCCCCCCCCCAACGCAGCAGGAACCTGCTCCAGACATACCTCGAGGAGCCGCTGAGGACACCCAAGGATGTCAGGCCTCAGAGAACCCGCCTTGGCAGGAAATCATGTGCATTCCAACCCCCACCCCCACCCCGTTCTGCTCTTTGTGACCTCTGTTGTCTGGGGTGTTTGGTGCCCATCTGTAAAATGGGCAAACCCATCCCTTCCGTCTTTCGAAGATGCCGTGAGGGTTCTGGAGAGAGCTTCCACGGGGCCCTTGGCATCCACACACAGTAGCCCCATTGTAATGGGGCTGTTCCCCTGTCTGCAACACTTCCTGTTAGTTTCCTGGCCTCAGTGTCCGGTCTGTAGAACGGGAGCGGTGAGGACTTCTGTGTCTTCAAGCCAGGAGGAGGACTGACACGACCTGAGGGAGCTCTTACGAGGGTGCCAGCACCTAGTAGCGTTGGAGACGTTTCAGTGATTAATATCGCCCTTGTCACCACCATCTCCAGCGGGTTCGGGACATCAGGGAGGTGACCTGGCTGAGGAAGTCCTGTATCTTTCCACCCTCCGCTCAAACCTATCGCAGGTATGGTCCGATCGTTCGTTCGTGTGTGCAGACTTCGCCAACTGTGTTGACCCGAAGAAAAAGCGGTGCCGTGTTGGGAAAGATGACACAGACCGTCCATGGCTGGAGCGTCTGATGTCCAGTTTGCTAAGGAGCAGAGGAAGGGGAAATGCCCTTGGGGAGGCTGGATGGGAGCACCTCCTCTCTCCCCTCCCCTCAGCCTTTTCCTCGGAGGCCTCTTGGGACCTGGCTGGTGCCTGGCCTCTGCCCAGCCTGCGCTAGGACCAGGGTGCTCCCTGCCCTCATCCCACACCCACCCCGATTTCTGCTGGGGCCCCAGAGTAGGAGCCACCAGGGTCCTTCCGGGAGCCTCCCTCCACGCAGGCTGGAAACCTCAGGGCTTTGCTGCAGGCTGGGAGATGCGGGGGCACTGACTTCCGAGAAGCCTGCAGCTTGGGGCGACGTAAAGACTACGAGCCTAGGGAGACCTTCTGTGTCCCCGCCTGGCTCTCCGGGCTACCCGCGTCAGCCTGGCCGGCTCCCAGGCTCCCCTGCCCACCCCCGACCAGGCCTCAGAACGGCTCTCAGCACACCGAGCTTCCGCACGAGGGCGCATCCGCGCCCGGACGCCGAGGGCTGGTGCCCTGCGCTCCCCGGAAATATGCCCCAGCGAGGGGCTCCTTCCTACAGTGGCCCCTCCTAGGCTCAAGTTACAAACTCGTCGCCTGGGAGCCCAGGATTCGTCCCCGCGCGGGAGCCGGGCTGGGGCGCCGCGCAGGAGCCTCCCGGGGATGCTCTGCGAGCGCGCGGGGCGGGACGCGCCTCTCCAGACCGCGACTAGAACTTGAGTTTTTTGTTTTTTGTTTTTGGGGCTTTTTTTTTTTTTTTT